CCCTCTAGATGACCTTTGGAGGACTGGCAGGAGGAAGAGGAGGAGAAGGAGAAGACAGACGAGGAGGAGGAGGAGAAAGAAAGAGAAGAAGAAGAAGAAGAAGAAGAAGAAGAAGAAGAAAGAAGAAGAAAAGAAGAAGAAGAAAGAAAGAAAGAAAGAAAGAAAGAAAGAAAGAAAGAAGAAAGAAAGAAAGAAAGAAAGAAAGAAAGAAAGAAAGAAACTGTTTGTCCAGAATGGTCTAGAAGACCCTCTGACTTCCAGAAATCAGACCAACCAGATTCATGAGTAGCCACCACCTGAGTTCATGGTCATGAATTTCTAATTTTGATGATATTTCTCTCCATTTGACATGTCCAGTTCTTGGACACTTCCTGGACACATATTGCTTACATATTGTATACAGGTGGTCCTCATCTTACGACCACAACTGAGCCCCAAATTTCCATCCCTAAATGAGACAGTTCTTAAGAGAGTTTTCCCCCATTTTATGACTTTCTTTCCACAGTTGTTAAGTGAAACACTGCATTGTTAACTTAGTCACACAGTTGTTAAGTGAATCTGAGCTTCCCCATGGACTTTCCTTGTCCGAAGATTGCAAAAGGGGACCACAGGACCCTGGGACTATGCAAGCGTCATAAGTATGAGTCAGCTGGCAAGGATCCAAATTTTGATCCTGCAATGTGAAAAATGGTCATAAGTCAGTTTTTCAATGCCTGTGGAACTTATAACGGCCTTTGAATGTCTTCAAACCCTCTGACCCTCTTCTACTTCCACTACAGGTAATCCTCAACTTACGACCATAATGGAGCCTGCCCATTATGGTTGTGAGTTATGACGGTCATAAAGCAAGACATCGCATCATTGCTTCGGGACGTCGCAACTATTGTAAATTCAAGCATCCGAGCATCTGAATTCGGATCAAGTGACCCTGGGAATGCTGCGATGGTCGTAACGATGAGGACCGGTCGTAAGCCACTTTTTCAGTGCCTTTGCAATTTCAGGCGGCTGCTAAACGATCGGTCGTAAATCCCCATGGACACATGATTTCCATTCGGACGTTTGGCAGTTGAGTCATATTTACGACCGTTCCATTGCCCCATCGCGATTTCCTTTTGCAACCTTCTGACCAGCAAAGTCACCAGGGAATCCCAGATTCGCTTAATAACCGTATGGTTAACTTAACAACCGCATTGATTCACTTAACAACTGTGGCAAGAAAGGTGGTAAAATGGGGAGGGGGGGAAATTCAACCATTGCCTCGCTTAGCAGGATAAATTTTGGGCTCAGTCGTAGTCGTAAGTCAAGGACGACCTGTATATAATATAGTGAAGGGTAATGGCTTTGGGGGGCTGCAAAGTCAAGAGTGCAGGGAAGATGAGTGACAGGACAATAGAAGGACATTGTGGTGACCCTTTAATTGTCCCTGGGAAGACCCATGAGATGCCTTCAAATATAGACAACATGGATGTCCAGCCTTTAAGCTTATTTTTAGCCCGTTAAGAGGACAACTGCCTCTCGGACACAAAACACACTCAGGATAGTGTGTAGGAGGCGTGAACTTTACCGCCAGGGCATCTGCCTGCTGTGCCCATCACTCCAGAGCTCTCGGAATATCGGCCCGATGGGGCCATAGATGGGACAATGCACTGACACCTCTTGGATGGAGACAACCCCAGAAGGGGTTGTGATGGGGGAGGGGGGGGAAGGAGATATTTTGGAAGCAGGGTGGGGGGGTGGGGGGTTGTAGGTCAAGGGCCTTGGGGAGTGGGGGGCAGAGCTGAGTGTCCCGAAATAACTCAACAGGTCAAGAGGGGAACATGATGGAGGCTGGTTGAGTTTGTGGGTAGGGTGTCAAGTTACTGGCATGCGAGGGTCCTTGGGACAAAGAGGGGAGGGGGAGAAGAATTCGGAGGGGCTGCCAAGAATGCAGAATAGGGTAGAGAGGAGAGGGTCTCTTGGGCAATCCTTAAGGGTAGTTTGCTTCTCTTTTCCTGTCCTATCTCTCTTCTCTTCTCTTCTCTTCTCTTCTCTTCTCTTCTCTTCTCTTCTCTTCTCTTCTCTTCTCTTCTTTCCTCTCATCTCCTCTCCTCCTCTCCTCTCCCTTCCCATCCCATTATATTCTTCTTCTCTTCTCTTCTCTTCTCTTCTCTTCTCTTCTCTTCTCTTCTCTTCTCTTCTCTTCCCTGCCCTTCCCTTCCTTCCTTCCTTCCTTCCTTCCTTCCTTCCTTCCTTTCTTTTTCTTTCTATTGGTCTGCCTGTCTGTCAATCTTTCTTGTTCTTTCATTCTTTCTCTCTGTCAATCTTGCTTATTCTTTCTTTCTTTTTTTCTATCTATCAATCTTGCTTGTTCTTTCTTCTTTCTCTCTCTCTCTCTTTCTCTCTTTTTTGTCTGTCAATCTTGCTTGCTCTTTCTTTATTCCTTTCTTTCTTTGTCTGTCAATTCTTTCTTTCTTTCTTTCTTTCTTTCTTTTTCTCTTTTTTTCTCTTTCTTTCTCTTTCTTTCCTGTTTGTCTGTTGGTGTCCATCTTTCTTGTTCTTTCTCTCTGGGTATCAAACTATCTTTTTCTGTCTGTCGGTCTTCCTTCCTCCCTTCCTCCCTCCCTATTTCCCCACTCATCTTCCTAGCTATGGTGACTAGCTACTCCTCTCATTGTGATTCCAGGAAGAACACAACAGACTCAAAGACCCAAAAGAAACACACAATTTCAGCAAAAACCCAGAACACGAAATGGCCACTCGGGAGCCGCATCCGTTGTGAGCTGATATTGTGTCATCAAGTCATTGTTCATTCTCAGCAACCTCCTTGATAGATCCTCTCTCTGAACCATCCATCTTTTCATGTTTTCTGTGATCTTTTTGGGAAAAAATCTGGAACCAGAATTTCCGCCACTAAGCTAGGCGATCGTTACAGGGAGTCATCCCCACTTTTCAAAAACTATTTCTTCCTTGTTGTTAAGTGAATCACTGGTGTTGTTGAGTAACACGGTCATTAAGCAAATCTGGCTTCTCCATTGACTTTGCTCGTCAGAAGTTTGCAAAAGGGGACTGCAACCGTCATAAATATGAGTCAGTTGCCAAACATCCAAAATTTTGATCATGTGACTATGGGGATGCTTCAACGGTCGTAAGTGTGAAGGCTGTTCATAGGTGACTTTTTCAGTGCAAATGGTCGCTAAATGAATCATTGTAAGCCGAGGACTATAGGACGTGGTTTAGATTGGACACCTCTTAAGAAAGACCCATTGTAAAAATTTGGGAAGTTGCAGTCGTTTACAAAGTGGAGAAGGAAGGAAATACAAAGAAGCAAGGAAAAGAAATAAAGCAAAGTGGAAAAGAGAAAGAAAGGAAGAGAGAAAGAGAGAGGGAAGGAAGGGAAGGAAGGAAGGGGAAAAAAACTAAAGGAAAGGAACGGAAATACTGTAAAGGAACATGAGGAAAAGACAAAAAAGGAAGTAAGGAGAAGGAGAAGGAAAGGGGGAGAAAAGGAAGGAAGGAAGGAGAAAGAGAAGGAAAGGGAGGGAAAGAAAAAGAAGGAAGGAAAGAAGGAAGGAAAGAAGGAAAAAAGGAAGGAAGGAAGATGGGAATGAGAAGGAAGGAAGGAGGGAGAAAGAGAAGGGAAGGAAGGGGGAGAAAGAAAAGGAAGGAAGGAAAGAAGGATGGAGGGAGGGAGAAAGAGAAGGGAAGGAAGGGAGAGAAAGAAAAGGAAGGAAGGAAAGAAGGAGGGAGGGAGAAAGAGAAGGGAAGGAAGGGATAGAAAGAAAAGGGGATGGCCCCTATGTTGGATTGAGAAGGAGCAGAAAGTCAGTTTCCAGCTTCCTGGACATGGTGTGGCTTGGTGGACGTGGCTTGGTGGGCGTGGCAGGGGAAGGATACTGCAAAATCCCCATTCCCTCCCGATCATCTGGGACTCGGGAGGCAGAGAATAGATGGGGGCGGGGCCAGTCAGAATTTTTACTACCGGTTTTCCGAACTACTCAAAATTTTCGCTACCGGTTCTTCAGAACTAGTCAGAATCTGCTGAAACCTGCTAAATGAACAATCATAAATCGAGGACTACTTATTCCAAATAAGCCAAGGTGCAAATTGAGTTTTGTGATATGAGTGGTGCAACTTTGAATACTTACAACCACAACACTCCATCCATCGCCTTACTGATTGTCTTGCACACACACACAGACACAGAGGCACACAAAATTTTGCATCTTCTAACGTTTACACCATGTTTGCTCAACTTTTCCAAAAGATTTGCAAAAAATAGGGAGAAACTCTAATCCGCTCCCCGAACATAGTAGTTACTTATAAGGATTATTACTCATAGTAACAAACTACTTGTTCGTTACTACAGCTAGAAGATGCAATCAACATGTAAGTGTATTGCAGAAACCATTAATAGTTACAAGGATTATTACTCATATCAGTAAACCAGCCATTTACTACTAGTGGTAGTAGATGTAAACATGTATTGTATTGTATTTGAAACTATTAGGAGGATTATTGCTCATACTAGTAAAGTACTCATTATTACTGCTGGTGATAGATATAATCAATGTATTGTAGCTAAAACCATTAATAGTTATAAGGCTTATTATTACTAGTACTAAGCTACTCATTTATTACTACAGGAAAATGTAATAGGGATATGGGTGGATCAGAGTGAAAACTATTAAGTTACCAGGATTATTTCCCATAGTAGTAAGCTAAACATGTATTATTACAGTGATAAATGTAATAGGTGGAATATGGTTGAAATTATTAATAGAAGAAATACTATTCATAGTAGTGAGCTACTCATTTTCATACTATGGGTAGAAGATGTAATAGATATAGGTAGACTGTTACTATTGTCCATAATTACAAGGATAATTACTTGGAATACATTCATTTACTAGTACAGGTAGACCATGTATAGGTAGATCAGGTAGATACAACAGGGAGGTTATTTATAGTAATAAAGTGTTCTTTTACTAATAACAAGTAGACTTAATAGATACATGAGAGGGTCATATTCAGCACTTTTAATCGTTTCAAGGACCAATTTTCAGAGTAGTAAACAACTCATTCACTACTACAGGTAGTAGTTGCGAATTGCGTCCTGCAGAGAACTTAGATGTTGCAAGGTCCCTACGAGGAGTAGTGGAAGCCTTCTTCAGAGGCTGGGGAGATACAATTTGCAAGTTGATGGCCGCAGAGGAGTCAGGCGGGAAGGACAGGAAAAAATAGTAGGGTTGGAGTGAGGAGTAACTAGGCGGAGTTCCAGAAGGACAGAAGTCCATCCGAAGACATCCAAAACCTCCGTCCCGTAAGGAAGTAAACAATCCTGAAAACCAAAAAACGAAGAGTTAGTCAACATACACCAGGTAGACTCTACTTCATGTCTACTCTGTACTCTGAAGTTCATGTTTACTCCACTTTCCTCAGTTCACTACTCCATGTTTACTCTGCTTCCTGAGGTTCCACCACTCCAACTTCACTCCCTGGGCTTCCAGGTATTTGCTAATCAACTGTGGTGGAAAAGGTTGTAAAAATAGCCGGGACTCACTTAACAACTGCCTTGCTTAACAATGGAAATTCTGGCCCTAATTGTGATTGAAGGTCGAGGAGTAAAAATTGGTATTTCTCAACCTTGGCAAGTTGAAGATGGATGAAATTCAACTGCCAGAATTCCCCAGTGGGAAGGGAAGGGAAGGGAAGGAAGGGAAGGGAAGGGAAGGGAAGGGAAGAAGGGAAGGGAAGGGAAGGGAAGGGAAGGGAAGGGAAGGGAAGGGAAGAAGGGAAGGAAGGGAAGGGAAGGGAAGAAGGGAAGGGAAGGGAAGGGAAGAAGGAAGGGAAAAGGAAGAAGGGAAGGGAAGGGAAGGGAAGGGAAGGGAAGAAGGGAAAGGAAGAAGGAAGAAGGGAAGGAAGGGAAGGGAAGAAGGGAAGGGAAGGGAAGGGAAGAAGGGAAGGAAGAAGGGAAGGGAAGAAGAGAAGAAGGGAAGAAAGGAAGGGAAGGAAGGGGAAGGGAAGGGAAGGGAAGGGAAGGGAAGAAGGGAAAGGGAAGGGAAGGGAAGGGAAGGGAAGGGAAGGGAAGGGAAGGGAAGGGAAGGGAAGAAGGGAAGAAGGAAGGGAAGGGAAGGAAGGAAGGGAAGAGAGAAGAAGGAAGAAAGGAAGGGAAGGAAGGGAGGAAGGGAAGGGAAGGGAAGAAGAGAAAAGGAAAGAAAGGAGGGAAAGGAAGAGAAGAAAAGAAGAGAAGAGAAGAGAAGAGAAGAGAAGAGAAGAGAAGAGGGAAGGAAGGAAGGAAGAACAGAAGAAGGAAGAACAAGGGAAGGAGAGAGGGAATGAAGAAAGGAAAAAGAGGAAGGAAGGGAGGAAGGAAGGAGTGAGTGAGGAAAGAAGCAAAGGAAGGAGGAAGAAAGAAAAAGAAAGAGAAGGAAGAAAGAAAAGAAAGAGAAGGAAGGAATGAAAGAGAGAGGGAGGAGGGAAGGACAAAAGGAAGAAGGATAGATAAGGAGGGAAGGAATGAAGATATGGGAGAGAGAGAGATAAGGAAAACAGTAAATTCACATCTTCTCCAAATTGCTCCCAGTCAAAACCCTTAAAACCTGGGAAAATGGCCAATTTCTCGTCTGGCGGTTTTCCAGGCATGGAGCCGGGTGAGCGGTTGACTGGGGCGGAGTGTGGGGGGGGGGGGGGGGGGGGGGGGAATGTCCCAAAAATACACGGGGGCGGAGGAAGCTAATGGTTGCCTCTAATCCTGTTGTTGCGACCTGTGCACAAAGTGGAATCCGTGGGTGGGCTGAGCATCTCTGAGCTTTTGGCGAAGACACAACAAGGACCCACAAACAAACACAAATATCGGTCTTTGCAAAGCGCAGCCGGAGCAGAAGGGACAGGACGGCTGTGGGTTCAAGACAGAGGAGACCCCTTAGCCTAGCCAGGACCCCTCACCCCCATCCTCACCCCCTCCTGGTCTTAATTTCTTACGCTACTTTTGATTTTTCACGGTGTCCACAGGGCAAAGAAAGAGGTCAACCGAAGGCAATCAAAAGCAACTGGAACCCTCCTGGGGGTGGGGGTGGGAGGTGAGGAGTGGGCTTCAGCTGCATGGTTTCAGGAACAGGGAGGGAAGGGGAAGATGGATGGAAGGAAAGAAGGAGAGAAAGAAGGAGAAGAAAGGGGGACGGGAAAGAAAGGAGGAAAGAAGGGAGAAAAGATAGAGAACAGGACGGAGAAACAGAAGGAGAGAGGAGGAAGAAAGGGAAAAAGGAGAAGAGAGACAGGCAGAAGAAAAGAAAGGAGGGAGGAAAAGAAGGGAGGGAGGGAGGGGGAAGGAACAGGGAAGAAGAAGAGAGAAGGTGGAAGAAAGAGAGAAAAAGCAAAGAAAGGAGGAAGAAGGAAGAAAAGGGAGAGAAGGATGGAGAGATAGGCAGAAAGAAGAGAGGGAGGCAGGAAGGAAAGTGGGAGGGAAGGAAGGAAGGAAAGGCAGGAGGGAAGGAGGAAAAGAGAAAGAAAGGGAAAAGGAAAAAGGAGGGAAAGAAGGAAGGAAGCAAGAGAAAGAGAAAAGGAAGGAAAGGCAGGAGGGAAGGAGGAAAAGAGTGGAGGAAAAGAAAGGGAAAGGGGAAAAGGGGGAAAGAAGGAAGGAAGGAAAGAGAAAGGGAAAAGGAAGGAAGGCAGGAGGGAAGGAGGAAAAGAGTGGAGGAAAAGAAAGGGAAAGGGAAAAAGGAGGGAAAGAAGGAAGGAAGGAAAGGGAAAGGGAAAAAGGAGGGAATGAAGGAAGGAATGAAAGAGGGAGGGAAGGACAAAAGTAAGGAAGGAAAAGAAAGAGAAGGAGGGAAGGAAAAAAAAGGCTTATCCCTGCATTTCACAGCTATGTCTGGCCTGATTTTTCACTTCATTCCTTCACTCCCTGGGACTTTGGGAGGATAGAAAAAAAATATCAACCCCATCCCACCAATCTGGGCCCCGTCATAACTTGAGTCATTCCAGATTTCACTAAGCAAACAAGACCAGGAACTTGGAGGTGATAAATAAACGAGAACGGACAAACAACAGGAACTGATAATGCTGGCTGTTTTCTCTCCTTTTATCTAGGGAATGTACCCACACATTTTCATTTTTTCAGGAAAAAGCCGGGTCAAACTTTTCCCAAGAGGGGTGGGAAAAATATATCTATATATCAACACAGCTTCTGAGTCATCCCAAGACTGGGGCAAAGATTTGCTGGTTGTTGACTTGCAAAAAAAAATAATAAGACAAAACCCATCTTCAGCGTTTGCGGTGAAAGGACACAACAATTGTCAATAAGGAAGATTTAGGTTGCAAAAATACCCATTTTTGAATGACCGTCTGTTTCTCTTAACAACCGCAGTGATCCACGCAACTCCCGTGGCCAAAAAAGTCACAAAATCGGACCTGACTCACTTAACAACCGCTTTTGCTTAACGGCAGGCATTCGGACCCCGGTTGTGGCCATAATTCGAGGACCAATCTGTGACCACATCATTGTTTTTGAATGCAGGGATGTAAATTGTCTTGGGTGCATCTTACCCAGAGGGCAGGTATTGTGCAGTACAGGTAGTCCTCAACTTATAACAGTTCCTTTAGTGACCGTTCAAAGTTTAAGTTACAACAGCACTGAAAAAAGAGACTTATGACCATTTTTCACACTTATGACAATTGTAGCATCCCCATGTTCATATCATCAAAATTCGGGCGCTTGGCAACTGACTCAGACTTATGACGATCGCAGTGTCCTGGGGGGGGAGGCGGGTCACATGATCCCTGTTTGTGACCTTCTGACAAGCAAAGCCAATGGGGGGAAGCAGGATTCACTTAATGACCGTGTGACTCACTTAACAACTGCGGTGATTCGCTTAACAACTGTGGCAAGAAAGGTCGTAAAGTGAGCCAAAACTCACTTCATCACTAGTTTCGCTTAGCAATGGAACTTCTGAGCTCAGTTGTGGTCGTAAATTGAGGAATACCTGCATATGATTTCAATCTTAGATTCGAATTCCTTCAGGATTCCTCTGAATGATCCCCCAATTATTCATTTGGCTTCAGCTTCATTTTTTAGCATTTGAATTTGCATTTACATCAATTCAGGAGAAATCACCAAGTTTGTTGTAGCTGCAACAGTGGAAAATGAGAACACAGGTAGTCCTCAACTTACGACCACAATGGAGCCAAAAATTTCTGTTGTTAAGAGAGACATTTGTTAAGCGAGTTTTGCCCCATTTTATGACTTCTCTTGCCAGCGCCGTTAAGTGAATCACTGCGGTTGGTAAGTTAGTAACGTGGTTGTTAAGCGAATCCAGCTTCCTCCATTGACTTATCAGAAGGTCGCCAAAGGGATCATGTGACCCCGAGATGCTAGACCGTCATAAATATGAGTCAGTTGCCAAGCATCTGAGCACCTGAGAACAGGGATGCTGCAAAAGTTGCAGCTGCGAGAAACGTCCGTGTCACATTTTTCAGCACCGTTGTAACTTTGAACGGTCACTAAACGAAATGTTGTAAGTCGAGGACTTCCTGTATTTCCTTCAGTTTGACGGGAAAAGAAATGGCAACAACGAACGCAGGTTCCTGAGATACGCAGAGCTAGGGGAACGTGCTGCATCATCTCATCCTCAATCAGGCCTCAGACTGGAAAAATACGTAAACAAAAGCTGCAAAAGGGAAGAATTAAGATAAGGATCCTCCTTACCTGCCATTTTAACTTGCCATGATGTGTTTCACAAAGGCTAAAATAAAAAGGGGGGGGGAGAAAGGGAGGGAGGGTGAATGATTGCAAGAATGGCAGTTTTCTGCATGTTATAAATCCCCAAATGTCCCAGATCCCGTCCAGATTTTTTTATACTGTCACTAGGAAACATGTTCCCCATTGGGTCATTGACTTCCTGCTGGCTTCCCCAATGACTTTCCTTGTGGGAACTGAGAGGAAGCATCAGAAATCTTTCCTTCCCTCCCTCCCTATCCTTCTCTTCCTTTTTTCCTATCATCTGTCCATCCTTCTCTCCCTTTCTTTCCCTCCCCTCCCTCCCTTCCTACCTCCTTCCTTTTCTTCCTTCCTTCCTTCCTCCCTTTCCTTCCTTCCTTCCTTCTGTCCCTCCCCTATTCCTCTCTTCCTCTTTTCTTTCCATCTGTCCATCCTTCCTTCTTTCTGTCTCTTCCTTTTCCCTCCCTTCCTTTCTCATCTGTCCTTTCCTCTCCTCCCTTTTCCCCTCCTCCTCCCTCCCTTCCCTTCCCAGCAGACAGGTAAATAGCTGCTGCTAGGTTGGCGAAGGGAGTGAGGGATTGCTAGACGGACTGGGAAACTGTCAACGGAACATTGCAAAATGAAGATCACGTGACCACAGCAGGAGCAGCGGTCAGTAGCCTTAAAGCAGCCGCAACTCCTCTAAATTTCATTTTCTCTAGAATCCTGGCTCTCAAGACTTCGAGCCCATTGTGTAAGTCACATCTCGGAGGTAACTGAGTTCGAAAACTGTTGTCCTCCGATACACCATTTTGCCCAATCGGAGGTTACAACAACAGGAGTGGGGTTTTAATTTTTTTAGCACCCTAAATTCTAATTGTCCTAAAAAATCGAATCCTTTGAAAAGATTTGATGATGCCGTTTCATGGCAGGTATTATATCCCCTAATCCCACAACTCATTACATTTCGCTGGCGTTGTTTTTTCATCCGAGAAGCACAACGAACGAACGATGGTGTGACATCCCCCTCCGCTCACCCACTCCCTTCCCCTACTATAACCTGGATTTTAAAATCACTTAGACGGCCTGAATTATTTATATTCCCACTGGGCCACTTTTTCTGGTCCCCAAGTCTGGGCAGGAACTCCTGAGCCATCATTTATTCCATCCTGTCTTCCATATTGATCTTTCTCATAAAAGTGATTTATAATCTGGCCCCCACTCGTCATTTTTCAAGAAGGTCAAATCCCAAGGTGAACATCAATGCTCGGCTTTGATCTCAACCCCAACCTCAAAGGCAGAAGAAGGTCACCTCTTGAAGAACCATCTCACCTTCATAATTGATACACCCGTTGGAGTCTTCTTGGCCGGCCATCAATTTATCAACTTCTTCCTCGGTTAATCTTTCTCCTGGGGGGGAAAAAAAACAACAACGGAGGAAAATAATTCAAAATTTAATGAAGGCTCTCATGCCTTTGAAGTCTTCCGCGGTCCTTCTGCTCAGAGGACTCATCTTCTAGGGTTCAAATAGGGAAGAGCAGAATCGAAGGTTGGCCATTCCTCGACATACGACCCGTTCACTTAGTGACCGCCGGGAGTTACAACGGCGCTGAAAAAAGGCACCGACGGCCAGTCATCGCAAATACAGGCTGTCCTCGACTTACGACCACAAAATGGATGCTGCTAAGCGAGACAGTTGTTAAGTGAACTTTGTCCCATTTTGCGACCTTTCTTGCCACGGTTGTTAAGTGAATCACTGCAGTTGTTAAATTAGTCAGACCATTGTCTGGCTTCCCCACTGACTCTGCTTACTGGAAGGTCGCAAAAGCGTCGTTAAGTGGGATGTTGCAACCGTCATAAGTATGAGACACCTGCCAAGCCTGAATTTTAGTCACCTGACCATTGCAACGGTTGTTAAGTGTGAAAAATGTAACTTCGAATGGTCACTAAGCAAACTGTTGAAAGTTGAGGACTACCTGTAATGCTTTTTACTGTTTCTATTGTTTTAATGTGCTTTTAAATATTTAATTGTAATATATGTTTCAATTGCGAGCTGCCCAGACTTGTTTGCTGAGTGGGCAGCTATAAAAACCAAATATATAAAATAAAAAAATAAATAAATACAGCCGTGGCGCTTGGCCACTGGCATGAACTTATGTCAGTTGCAGCATCCCCTGGAGTCACGTGATTGGTATTTAAGGCCTTCCCTGCTGGCCTCTGGCTACAAAGACAATGGGGGAGGCAGGATTCACTTAACAACCACACTGATTTGTTTTAAAATGGTGGCGCAGTGGTTAGAGTGCAGTACTGCAGAAGTACTACTTCTACTGACTGCCGGCTGCCTGCAATTTGGCAGTTCGAATCTCACTAGGCTCAAGGTGGACTCAGCCTTCCGTCCTTCCGAGGTGAGTAAAATGAGGTTCCAGATTGTTGGGGGCAAATATGCTGATTTTGTAAGCCGCTTAGAGAGGGCTGTAAAAGCACTGTGAAGCAGTATATAAGTCTAAGTGCTATTGCCCTTCCTTCCTTCCTTCCTTCCTTCCTTCCTTCCTTCCTTCCTGCCTTCCTGCCTTCCTGCCTTCCTGCCTTCCTGCCTTCCTCCCTCCTTTTTCTTTCCTTCACAATGGTTAGAATGCAGTATTGCAGGCTAACTCTGCCGACTGCCAGTAGTTTGAATCTCACCAGGCTCAAGATTGGCTCAGCCTTCCATCCTCCTGAGGTGGATAAATTGAGGACCCAGATTGTTGGGGCCAATAGGCTGATTCTATAAACCACTTAGAGAGGGTGTAAAAGCACTATAAAGCGGTATATAAATCTAAGTGCTATTGCTATTGCTATAACCCTGGTTATTTAAATAAAAAAAAAAGGGTTATAAAATCGAGCTGGCCTCCTGGAACAACTGCCTTGCTTAGCAACGGGGATTCTGGTGGGTGGCCGTAAGTCGAGGACTTCCTCTTTGCATGCAAATCTATGCGAGAAAAACGATGCCACGAAAGGCTCTCTGGCTTGTCCCGTCTGAGAGCTCCCGTAGGGCCAGCCTTACCAAGGGTTGCCAAGACGTGGCGGAGTTCGGCTCCCATCACAGTGCCATTTCCTTCTTTATCAAAGACACGCAGACCTTCCACGAAGTCCTCAAATGTCCCCGTGTCTTTGGTCTTGGCGATGTGCTGGAGCATGGGCAGGAACGTGTCGAAGTCCAGCATCTTGCTGTTCATTTCTGCCAAAAGAAGGAAAAAATGCGCTTCACCCACACGGCTCACCCAGCCACATTGGAAAGCAAACTCTTAGAGCTGGAAGGGACCTCGGAGGTCCTCTAGTCTGACCCCCTGCTCGAGCAGGAGACCCTGGACTATCTTGGACAAAAGGGCTGGCCGGTCTCTTCTTGGAATCTTCCAGGGATGGAGCCACTCGCAAGTCAGGGAGGAAAGCCATTGCAGTCGTTAAGCAAGTGCAGCAGTCGTTAAGCAAGTCCTACAGTCGTTAAGCGAACACTGCAGTTGTTAAGCAAATGCTGCAGTCATTAAACAAACACAGCAGTCGTTAAGTGAACACTGCAGTTATTAAACAAACACTGCAGTCATTAAGTGAATCCTGCAGTCATTAAGCGAACACTGCAGTCATTAAATAAACACTGCAGTCATTAAGCGAATGCTGAAGTTGTTAGGCGAACACTGCAGTAATTAAACAAACACTGCAGTCATTAAGCATTTAAACCCTCCAAAAAACTCAATCTGCAAATCATTCCACACCATTGAGAAGAGACTAACCGTCTGGTTTTGGGCGTCCAAGGACTTTATGGACTTCTGCCTGGGTGGGATTCTGCCCACAGGACCTCAAGACGTCCCCGCATTGCCCGTAAGTGATTTTCAATTCACCCTTTGGAGTCCGGTCGAAGAGTTCAAAAACCTCCCTGAATTCTGAGAAAAACAACAAAAGAGCATCAGGAAAAAAAATTGTGCTTCGCATGACGAATTTGTTTGCAAAGTATAATACCGAATAGTAGGAATGGAAGGGACCTTGGAGGTCTTCTAGTCCAACCCCCTGCTCAAGCAGGAAACCCTACACCACTTCAGACAAATGGTTATCCAACCTCTTCTTAAAAACTTCCTATGTTGGAGCATTCACAATTTCTAGAGGCAAGTTGTTCCACTGATTAATTGTTTTAACTGTCAGGAATTTTCTCCTTAGTTCCAGGTTGCTTCTCTCCTTGATTAGTTTCCATCTGTTGCTTCTTTTCCTGCCTTCTGGTGCTTTGGAGAATAGCTTGACTCCCTCTTCTTTGGGGCAGCCCCAGAGAGATTGGAAGACTGCTATCATGTCTCCTCTAGTGCTTCTCTTCATTAAACTAGACATACCCAGTTCCAGCAACCGTTCTTCATATGTTTTAGCCTCCAGTCCCCTAATCCTCTTTGTTGCTCTTCTCTGCACTCTTCCTAGAGTCTCCACATCTTTTTTTACATCGTGGCGACCAAAATTGGATGCAGTATTCCAAGTGTGGCCTTATTACCAAGGCCTTATAAAGTGGTATTAACACTTCACGTGATCTTGATTCTCTCCCTCTCTTGATGCAGCCTAGAACTGTGTTGGCTTTTTTGGCAGCTGCACCAGATCGCTGGCTCATACTAAAATGTATGAAGAATGGAGGCTAAATAGACAAAGAATTGGGGAAATCTACTTTAATGAAAAGAAGAATTAGGGGTGATATGATGGCAGTATTTGAGTATTTGAGGGACTGCCCCAAAGAAGAGGGAGTCAAGCTATTCTCCAAAGCACGAAAAGGCAGGACAAGAAGCAACGGATGGAAACTCATCAAGGAGAGAGAAGCAACCTGGAATTAAGGAGAAACTTCCTAACAGTAAGGACAATTAACCAGTTCCAGAACTGGTTAATTGTCCAACATTATACCCATATGACTACAATTGAGCCCAAAATTTCTGTTGGGACAGCTGTTAAGTGAATTTTGCCCCATTTTATGACCTTCCTTGCCACATTTGTTAAGTGAATCCCTGCAATTGTTAAGTTAGTAACGCCGTTGTTAAGCGAATCTGGCTGCCCCCTTGCCTTGGCTTGTCAAAAAGTCGCAAAAGGGGAACACGTGACTCCGGGACGATGCGACCGTCATAAATATGAATCAGTTGTCAAGCATCTGAATTTTGATGATGTGATCATGTGGAGATGCTAGAACGGTCGTTAAGTGTGAAAAGTGGCCATAAGTCACTTTTTTCAGTGCTGTTGCAATTTTGAACGGTCACTAAATGAATGGTTGTAAGTTGAGGACTTCCTGTATTTCAGTTTGTTCATTGAGGGAAATGGCGATTAATAAATAGGAAATATAAATAAATAAGTAAATAAATAAGGGGTTATATATTTCCAGTGTGTTTTGAACTCCTGTTTAAAAAAATAATAATTCTTAAATTACAACTTCTCTGAACTTTCTCATGTGATTTGCATTTTGAAAGTTTGAAAAACTTTGCTGTTGGATTCATTATCGGCTCTATTTTCATTCCATCTCATTTCGAAGTCCCTGGGGGGATGGTTACGACTGAAAGAAAGAGGGGGAAAAATGACAGATCACCCAGTTTACGATAATGAGATTTGTCCAACCCAAGAATGTGAGAAACAGGGGAAAAAAAACCCATCTTCCTACTTAGCTTAAAGCAGGGCCACGGACCTCTGCAAATCTCAGATACAGAAAAACATAAAATTTGGGATATTGAAGCTTTGCAAAGTTCAAGAGCATTCTGAGTCTTAAATTCCCCAGCTCTTATTGAGAATTGAGTTTTGCCCTGTTTCGCGACCTCTCTTGCCATCGTTGTTAAGTGAATCGCTGCGGTTATTAAGTTAGTCACATGGTTGTCAAGCGAATCTGGGCTTCCCTGTTGACTTTGCTTGTCCAAAGTTCGCGAAAGCGGATCACGTGACCCCCGGGACATTGCAAACCGTCATAAGTACGAGTCAGTTGCCCATCGTCTGAATTTTGATCAGATGGGGATGCTGCAACGGTCGTAAGAGTGAAAAACGGTCGTAAGTCCCTTTTTCCAGTGCCATTGCAACTTCAAATGGTCACTAAATGAACGGTTGTAAGTCGAGGATTAATTGCACCTATAATTGTCAAGCCAGATGTTTCTAGCTTGGCTGCTTTCCCTTATTTTCTTCGATTCGTTAATCGCTTTGCTCTAGTTCTTGACATTTACACGCACAACAGATTCTCAGTAGGTTGAGGGACTGAGCAGCACTAAATAAAATTACAAAACGGTTTTTGTCCCAGGTAACCCCAACAACAGAGGCAAAATCTTCCAAGACCTCCTCCTGCCGCCGCTCCACAGGTCCTGCGTGGATAAATGGCTCTGGGGCCACGTTTGAAATATCATGGCATTCAGAAGCCGTGAAGAAGTAAACGAGGGCGACTTTGATAATTAGATGAAGGGCACTGCATAGTGGGGGTCGGTTATCCAGCTATGAGAGAGAGAGAGAGAGAAAGAAAGAGCAAGAGAGAGAGAGAGAAGAAAGAGAGAGAGAAGGAAAGAAAAAGGGAAAGAGAGAAAGAAAGAAAGATTGATGATAGATAGATAGATAGATAGATAGATAGATAGATAGATAGATAAACAGAGAGATAAGAGAGAAAGAGAGAGAGAGAGATAGGTAGGTAGGTAGGTTGGTTGGTAGATAGATAGGAGGGAGGGAGGGAAGGAAGGAAAAGGGAGGGAAGGAAGGAAAGAAGGAAGGAAGGAAAGAAAGAAAGAAAAAGAAAGAAAGAGGGATGGAAGGAAGGAAGGAAAGGAAAGGAAAGGAAAGGGAAGGAAGGAAGAAAGAAAGAAAGAGGGAGGGAGGGAAGGAAGGAAGGAAGGAGAGAAGGGTGGAAGGAAAGAAAGAAAAGGAAGAAAGAGAGGGAGGGAGGGAAGGAAGGAAAGAAAGAAGGAAGGAAGGAAAGAAAGAAAGGGAGGGAAGGAAGGAGAGAAGGGTGGAAGGAAGGAAAGGAAAGGAAGGACGGAAAGAAAGAGAAAGAGGGAGGGAGAGAGGGAAGGAAGGAAGGAAAGGGAAGGAAGGACAGAAAGAAAGAGAAAGAGGGAGGGAGAGAGGAAGGAAGGAAGGGAAGGGAAGGAAGGAAGGACAGAAAGAAAGAAAGAGAAAGAGAAAGAAAGAAAAAGGAAAAGGAAGGAAGAAGAAGAAAAGAAGAAGGGAAGGAGGGAGGGAAGGCTGGAGCTAGGAAGGAAGGAAGAGAGAAGGATAGGGAAGGATGGGAAATGAAGGAAGGAAGGAACTTGCAACGGCAGTGATTCATTTAACAACTCGTGCAAGAAAGGTCGCAAAATAGGGCATAACTCAATTAACAACTGTCTCGCTTAACAATGGAAATTTTCGGCTCAATGATGTTACGCTGAGTACGGATTGTAGGGTCTCCTGCGTGAGTAGGGAGCTGGGCTACAAGACCTCCAAGGTCCCCTTCCCGCTCTGTTATTCTGTTTTGCTCTCAAAACAACTTTTTTCAAGCAAGCAAATAAATAAATAAATAAATTCAATATGATCCTTTCCTGCCATTGTTCATCTCAGCATATCGATTTACACTCCGTGTTGCTCATCCGGAGATCAATTCACTCCCAGCTTCTCTGCCTGCCTCAGTTTCCAATACTGCCAAGCAAGTCATGGCCGGTGGTGGGTTTTGGGGTGAGGCGCTTGAAATAGGCAGGAAGAGACGGGCGCGTTCGATCGATGGAAGGAAGTCTAGCTGTAGTAGAGTCAGAATACGGATGTCTCCGGTGAAAGTTGAAAAGGGAGTTTGCAATGTGAAAGATGAAGAAGCATCGTAGATATCCCAGAACATTCAGAGCAGGTAGAAATCCTTAATCTTGAGAGAGCAGGCTTTAAGCGGGACGGATTTCGAATCCCATAATCCCCCCGCCCAGCCTTCTTTAAGAGAAGTAGAGCAATTCCCATGGCTTAGGACCTGGTTATCTACGGGACCGCCTGCTACCACCAGTAGCCTCTCACCCGGCCAGTACGCTCCCATAGAGAGGGGCTTCTCAGGGTGCCGTCGGCCAAACAATGTCGACTGGCGGCCCCAGGGGGAGGGCCTTTTCTGTGGGGGCACCTACGATCTGGAACGAGCTCCCCCCGGAGATACGGAGGATCCCGGATCTACGCACCTTCCGCCCGCGCGCTTAAGACCTTTCTATTTTATCAAGCTGGCCTGGCCTAAATCCTCTCCCCTTTTTAAATGGAAATTTTAAATTTGGTTTTAAATTACTGGGGTTTAAAATTGGTTCAGCCAAATTATTTAATTCGTTTTATTTTATTTTAAATTTATATGTTTTATTCTATGGCTGTTCACCGCCCTGAGTCCTTCGGGTAGTAGGCGGTATATAAATTCAATAAAATAAATAAAAAATAAAAAATAAAAAAAATTTCCCCAGCCAGCATGATTTAAGAGGCGTGGACTTCAAGTCCCAGAATTTGCCTTCATTGAGTGACATAGAATGTAGAATAGAAATGAAGAAGGGAAATAGAATAGAATAGAATAGAATAGAATGGAATGGAATGGAATGGAATGGAATGGAATGGAATAGAATAGAATAGAATAGAATAGAAATATGGAATGGAATGGAATGGAATGGAATGAATGGAATAGGAATGGAATAGAATAGAATAGAATAGAATGGAATGGAATGGAATAGAATAGAATAGAATAGAATAGAATATATGGAATGGAATGGAATGGAATGGAATGGAATAGGAATGGAATAGAATAGAATAGAATAGAATAGAATAGAATAGAATAGAATGGAATGGAAATGGAATGGAATGGAATGGAATGGAATGGAATGGAATGGAATGGAATGGAATAGAATAGAATAGAATAGAAAATATGGAATGGAATGGAATGGAATGGAATGGAATAGAATGGAATAAATAGAATAGAATAGAATGGAATGGAATGGAATAGAATAGAATAGAATAGAATAATGGAATGGAATGGAATGGAATGGAATAGGAATGGAATAGAATAGAATAGAATAGAATAGAATAGAATAGAATAGAATAGAATAGAATAGAATAGAAATATGGAATGGAATGGAATGGAATAGAATAGAATAGAATAGAATATATGGATTGGAAATGGAATGGAATGGATAGGAATGGAATAGAATAGAATAGAATAGAATAGAATAGAATAGAATAGAATAGAATAGAATAGAATAGGAATAGAATAGAATAGAATAGAATAGAATAGAATAGAAATATGGAATGGAATGGAATGGATAGAATAGAATAGAATAGAAATTCAGATGAATAGGATAGAATAGAATAGAATAATAAATGCAGCACTGGTCAAAAAAGCCCCAGTAGAGATTATACCACCTGAGACTTCTCAGGAAACAACAAACTGAATGAAAAATTGCAGGTGACCTTCTCCCACTGCACCATAGAGAGTATTTTAACTTACTGCACCTGTGTCGGGTTTGCCAATTGCACAGCGGCAGATAGGACAGCGCTCCAGAGGGTCAACGCCATTGCCCAGGGATCATGGGTTGACCCCTCCCCTCTCTGGAAGAGCTTTATAGCTCCCGCTGCCTTAAAAAAGTTCAAAACCTCCTTAAAGATCCATCTCATCCTGGATCTCACACCCCCCTTTTTTTTTTTTTGAACTATTACCATCTGGCAGACGGTACAGGGCAATAGAAACAAGGACAAATAGGCTGAAAAAACAGCTTCTACCCCAGGGCAGTAAAACTCTATTGAATTCTACTATATAGTGCAATACTAAATGCAAATCAGGGTTTTTCGATTCCATTGTATAGAATGCGAAGGATGTGTGTTTGTGTTTTATTTTTATAGTTATAATGTACACGGAAGATGGCATTTAATTTCATTGTACGAGGTGCGATGACAATTAACTTAACTTAATAGGGAATGGAATAGAGAATATGCATAAGAGAACAGAACAGAATAACAGAGTCCGAAGGGACCTTGGAGGTCTTCTAGTCCAACCCCCTGCTTAGGCAGGAAACCTTATACCAGTGATGGCGAACCGTCGCGCGGAAACATCGCGCGCACATGCTCGTCAGGGCCGCATTCCAGAAAAGCCAAACTTGCGGGAACTAATGCATATGCATACCTGACAAGCAAAGTCAATAATGAAACCAGATTCGCTTAACGACCACATGATTTGCTTAGCAACTGCAGTGATTTGCTTCACAGCCATGGCAACAAAGCTCGTAAAAACTGGGCGTGATTCACTTAACAACTGCCTTGCTTACCGGCAGAAAATCCTGATCCCCCAAATGCAGTTGCAAGTGATTGAATCTGTGACCCCAGAGATGAAGTGACTGTCGTAAGTGTGAGAACCGGTAGTAAATTCCCTTTTCTTCAATGCCATTGTAACTTCGGTCGTTAAATGAGTCATCATAATTTGAGGATTACCTGTATTAACAGCTACGTCTTGATAAACTCCCTTTTTCAGTTGTTTTTTTTCTTTTGTTAGTGAAGGATGCTCATGTCAAAAGCCCCTTGAGGCTGAACTACTGGAAGTAATTAGCAATTAATTAATTAGGAAAACCTCTTAATTACGGGTGGAAAAAGAAAATTAGAGCCCCTTACCTTCAATTTGATCATGATTGAATTCCAACTGAAAGAGAAGGGGAGAAAAAGAGGATTATTCACACTTCCCATCAAATGGGAAACCTGAATGCAACCTTTTATAGAGCACTGCACACCAGAACAACTAGACACAAGGACAATTTTTTCCCCAAATGCCATCACTCTCCTAAACAAATAATTCCCTCAACACTGTCAAACTATTTACTAAGTCTGCACTACTATTAATCTTCTCGTCTTCTCATCGTTCCCACCGCCCATCTCCTCCCACTTATGACTATATGACTGTAACCTTGTTGCTGGTATCCTTATGATTTATATTGATATTGTTTCCTGATTGCTTATTTGTTCCCTATGACTATCATTAAGTGTTGTACCTTATGATTCTTGACGAACGTATCTTTTATGTATACTGAGAGCGTATGCACCAAAGACAAATTCCTTGTATGTCCAATCACACTTGGCCAATAAAAAATTCTATTCTATTCTATTCATGACTAGGTGCAGGGAGTCCTCGCCTTATAACCATTCATTTAGTGACTGTCCGGACCATTGTGGCAACAAAGGTCATAAAATGGAGCAAAATTCACTTAAAAACCATCTAGTTTAGCAGTAGATATTTTGTCTTCCATTGTGGTCATACATGAAGGATTTCTTGGGTGCATTTTAACAGTGGTGTTACAGGTAGTCCTCGACTTATGGCCCTCCGTTGAGCCCTAAATTTCCATTGCTAAGCCACAAATTTGTTTACTGATTTTTTCCCCATTTTACGACCTTTATTACCAGTTGTTAAGTGAATCACTGCAATTTTTAACTGAGTTACATGGTTGTTAAGTGAATCTGGCTTCCCCGTTGACTTTGCTTGTCAGAAGGGGATCACGTGACCACACACCCCTGGGACCCTGCAACCGTCATAAGTATGAGTCAGTTGTCGAGCGTCTGAATTTTCATCACATGCCCATGGAGGAATGCTGCAACAGTGGTAAGTGTGAAAAACAGTCCTAAAATCACTTTTTTCAGTGTCATTGTAACTAAACAAATTATTCTAAGACGAGATTACCTGAATTTTTTTTTTTTTTTTACAATATTATTCTCAATGTTTTCCAGCCTGGTGCTCTAAATTTCTATTGATTTTATGGCCTTTAATGTATAAATGTCTTTAAAACATTATTGGATATGACATGGGTAGCCAATACATTTCATTAATAAATGAAGAAAGAAGAAAGAAAAAGAAAGAAAGTGTGAAAGAAAGAAAGAGAAAAAGAAAGAGAAAAAGAAAGAGAAAAAGAAAGAGAAAAAAAGAGAGAGTGGAAGAAAGAAAGAAAGAAAGAAAGAAAGAAAGAAAGAAAGAAAGGGAAAGAAAGAAAGAAAGAAAGAAAGAAAGAAAGAAAGAAAGAGGGGGAAGAAAGAAAGAAAGAAAGAGAAAGAGAAAGAGAGAGGAAGAAAGAAAGAAAGGAAGGAAGGAAGGAAGGAAGGAAGGAATAAATAAATAAATAAATAAATAAATAAATAAATAAATAAATTTCAATTTGGTGCAAACCTTTGGCCTGTAAGAGGACCCCATCGATTGTAAGAAGAATAAATTCCCCATCCTGTTCTACAGCTTGGAAAATTTCATTAAGGAGCAGGAAAGGAAAATTATAGGTACTCCTCAACTTACAAAAGTCCATTTAGTGACTGTTGAAAGTTACAACGGTACTGACTTACAACCGTTTTTCAAAATTACGACCATTGCAGCATCTTCATGGTCAAATGATCAGAATTCAGACGCTTGGCAACTGACTCGCAGTTATGACGGTCGCAGTGTCCCAGAGTCACGTGATCTCCTTTTACGAATTTCCGATGAGTAAAAATCAATGGGGAAAGCCAGATTCGCTTAACAACCATGTGGCTAAATTAAAATATTCTGCAGCAATTCATTTAACAACATGAGAAAGGTCGTAAAATAGGGCAAAACTCACTTAACAACTATCTAGCTTAGCAGAAGAAATTTGAGGCTCAAATTTGTGGTCATAACTCGAGGACTACTGTACAACCCTGCTCAGAAATGTGAACCATTAGACAAAGCTGAGTTATTTTGCTAATGCAGTTCAAAAATCTGTTTCAGATTCCTGCCGAGCAGATGGCTATCTCTGCTTTCTGTTCCTTTTTTCTCCGCAGAAACTCAACTCCAACTTAGTTTTGTGTCTGTGTGTTTTTTTCAATAACAATGTTGGCTAAGAAGGATTCCTTCCCTGTCTCAAAAAAGGATTTGCTCCCCCCTTAAGCATTTTTTAAATTTATATGCCTGGAGTCAGGAATGGCCATCTGCCCTGATTTAAAATTAGCCCTTGCCTCAAGCTGAGTTTGCCCCTTCCCCTGTTCAGAAGAGAGAAAGGGAGAGAGAGAAGGGGAGAAAAAAGAGAAACAGAGAGAAAGAAAGAGAGAAAATGAAAGAAAGAGAGGGAGAAAGAAAGAGAGAGAGAGAGAATGAGAGAGAGAGAAAGAGAATAAGAGAAGTGGAGAGAAAAGATAGAAAGTGAGAAAAAGAAAATGAGAGAGAGAAAAAGAGAGAGAAAGAAAGGGAGAAATAGAGAGAAAGTAAAAAAATGAGAGAGAGAGAGAAAAGGAGAAAGAGAACAAGAGTAGTGGAGAGAAAAGAGAAAGAGAGAGAGAGAAGAGAGAGAAAATGAGAGAGAGTGAAAGGGAGAAAGAGAACATAGAGAGAGAAAGAGAGAAAGAGAGAAAGAGAGAGAGAGAAAGAGAGAGAGAAAGAAAGGGAGAAAAAGAGAAAGGGAGAGGAAGAGGAAGAGAAAAAAAAGGAGAAATAGGGAGAGCGGGAAAGTGGGAGAAAGAGAAAGAAAGGGAGGGAGAGAGAGAAAAAGAAAGAATGAGAGAAATAGAGAAAAAAGAGAAAGAGCGAGAAAAAGAGAGAAAAAGAGTGAGAAAGGGAGAAAGAGAAGAAAGAAAAATGAGAAAATGAGAAAGAATGGGGGAAAGAGAAGAAGAGAAAGAATGAGAGAGAGAGAGAGAGAAAGAAAGAAGAAAGAAAGAAAGAAAGAAAGAAAGAAAGAAAGAAAGAAAGAAAGAAAGAAAGAAAGAAAGAAAGGGACAAAGAGAGAGAGGGAAAGGAAGAAAGAGAGAAAGAGAGAGTATTAAAGTCCACCAAATGGCTGGGGAATTCTGGGAGTTGAAGTCCGATCTCTTCAAGTTGCCACACTGATTTAACTGACTTCTCCAAACTTAATTGCTTTGCAAATTAGCCTCTCCAATCCCTGCTTTCCAATTTTTTCTTTTTTAATGAAGTCAGGCCTCCAGCCTTCCTCAACTACAGAATTATCATCAAAATCTCTCCGAATTAACTGCAAAAAAAAGAATGGAAGAAGAGGCCAACTCAATTAGTCACGCCTTAAAACAGGATAGAATTAAATTATCCAGAAATTGTCCCCCATCCTTTCTGTCTTGTGGGGTTTTTCCAGGAATCAACACTTAATACACACTTAATAATAAAATCCATGCAACGTACAGCGAGAGCGTCATAAAAAGTTTCACGGCTCGGAGAAAAAACAGAATTTTGCAGAATTTTGATCTGTGCAGTGTCTTCTTTTTAAGCTAATTTTTTGTGAGTCTGACTAGGTAGCTCAGTGGCTAAGACACTGAGCTTGTCGATCAGAAAGGTCGGCAGTTTGGTGGTTCGAATCTCTAGTACAGATCTCCTGCATGAATAGGGGGTTCGACTAGATGGCCTCCAAGGTCCCTTCCAACTCCGTTACCATTCTCATTTTTGACTCCAGGCATGTAAATTTTCCCAAATCTGGATTGGTTGCAGCCCCTTCGTAAATAGGGGTCCACTGCAGGTAAGTCAATGTTAGCAAAAGAAATATAGCTACTCCTCAACTTACGACCATTCATTTAGTGACCGTTCAAAGTTATACTTGGCATAACTTGATTCCTATTTATGACGGTCGCAGTTGTCCCCGGGAGGATCATGAGATCCCCTTTTGGGACTTTCTGACAAGCAAAGTCCAATGGGAAAGACAGATTCACTGAACATGTGTGTGACTAACTTAACGACGGCAGTGATTCACTTAACGCCCGTGGCAAGAAAGGTCGTAAAATGGGTCAAGACTCACTTAACAACGGACTCACTTTGCAACAGAAATTTTGGTGTGGTTTTAAACCTAGGACTATCTCCAGAACCAGTGCAGTTGTCTGGCTTAAATAACATACACTTATTTACATTAAATTTCAAATTTTTGAGAAATCTCACAGGGGCCAGCCAGGGACAGCCGAAGGGCCAGATGCAGCCTGGGGGACCCCCTAAAATGCCTATTTCTGCTCTAGGAGATATCTACCTGGACTATTTTTTTTCACGTGGAAATTAAATTAATAAGTTGGAAAAGTTATGTAGAGTTTGCTTTTTTTGGCGCACCAGAGAAATGAGGTCATTTATTGCACGAAAATCGAAGGGCGCACTAAATAAAAATACGAATTATTTTATGACATTATGCGCTCAGGTTTAATTAGAGTTACACATTCAATAAAAGGGAAACCAGATTGATGTTTGTTGAAGCCAGATTGTTGTGCTCCAAAACAGCTGATGGCAGCTAATTTTTGCTTTAAATGGAGCAATAATTACAGGACAGTTGTGTTTATTCAGACCGAATGAGTATTCCACGCTCTGCCATCTCCAACTGACTCAGTGGGTGTTTTTTGTTTTTTTCCAGGTGCCAGCAAAATTTCTACACAACGACAACCACAACAGGGAGGGATTTCCTGTGAGGTGAAGTAGGAAGAAGGTCAAGAAAGTTTTTTTTAAAAAAAAGTTAGACTAGCCTTGATTCATTGTTTATCCGTGTCCAATGTTTTTGTGGTTACTTTTCCAGTTTGCAATAAGTGGGGAATTTAGAGACTGGGTGGCAGTGAGTTCTAGTTCTGTCTTAAGCATGAAAACTGGCCTTTAAATACACGCCTTCACATTCCTCCGAGGGACACACAATGCAAAAACCCAACAAGTATTTTCCATTGGGGTTGATAGATAATTGGGAGATTGGGGGGAACTTCCTTCCTTCCTTCCTTCCTTCCTTCCTTCCTTCCTTCCTTCCTTCCTTCCTTCCTTCCTTTCCCTTTTTTCTTCTCCTTCTCCTTCCCCTTCAGTTCCTTCTCTTTCCTTCTTTTCTATCTTCTTCTTATCTTTTCTTTTTCCTTCTCTTCTCCTTCTTTCTCTTGTTCTTCCTCCTCAATTTTCCCCTTCTCTTCCTCATCTTCTCCTTCTTCTTCCTCCTTTATGTTCTTCTCCTTCTCATCTTTTCATTCTTCTCCTCTATCTCCTTTTTCCTCCTCCTCCTGTTTTCTCCTCATCCTTTCATTCTTCTTCTCTTCTTCATCCTTGTCTGTTCTTCTCCTTCTCATCTTCTCCTTATGTATCTACTCCTTCTACTCCTTCTCATCTTTTTCTCCTCCTTCTTCTTTTTTCTCATTTCTTTTCCTTATCTGTCTCCTTCTCCTCTTTTCATTCTTCTCCTCTTCTTCCGCCTTGCCTTTATCCTCCTTCTCCTCCTCCTCCTCTTTTTCTCCTCCTTCTCATCTTTTCCCCTCCTTGTCTAACTTCTCCTTCCTCCTCCTCCTTCTTTTCATTCTCATTTTCTCCTTCTCTTCCTTCTCTATTTCCTCCTTGTCTTTTCATTTTTTTTCTCTTCTTCCTCCTCGTCTGTTCTCCTCCTTCTCATTTTTTCTCCTCCTTGTCTATCTTCTCCTTTCTCCTCCTCCTTTTTTTCATTCTCAGTTTCTCCTTCTCTTCCTTCTCTATTTCCTCCTCGTCTTTTCATTCTTTTTCTCTTCTTCCTCCTCGTCTGTTCTCCTCCTTCTCCTCTTTTTCTCCTCCTTGTCTATCTTCTCCTTTCTCCTCCTCCTTCTTTTCATTCTCATTTTCTCCTTCTCTTCCTTCTCTATTTCCTCCTCGTCTTTTCATTATTTTTCTCTTCTTCCTCCTCGTCTGTTCTCTCCTTCTCCTCTTTTTCTCCTCCTTGTCTATCTTCTCCTTTCTCCTCTTTCTTCTTTTCATTCTCATTTCTTCCTCCTCCTCCTCCTCCTCCATCATCATCTTCTTCCCCTTCCCCACAAACTCTCCCCCCACCCTTTTTATCGAGACAAAAAGAGGACAGCTGCAACGGGGATACAAGAGAAGCTGCTGAGGGAGGGGGCTCAGTGATGGAGAAAATGTGCTGATGGTTCTCTTAATAAACTATGGTTCTATTTTGGACAGCGACAAAGGTCAAGGTAAGCCAAGAGGCATCAGGTAATCTGGAAGACAATGCCCCCTCTCCCTCCCACCCCCCAGCAGTTGTCGGCTGTTAAGAGTCTGTGCCAAATAGCTGCCATTCCTCCCTGCAAACTGACTGCCAGGGAGTCAAAAAAGTCAAAATGGCGGCCCCAACAGGCCCGGGGATCAAATTATAGAATTGTGACTGCATTTCCTGCAAATATCCTGCTTCTTTGCTCTGGTTGGTTTGAAAAAAAGCAAACAAACAAACAAGAAAGAAATTGTGATTATCTCCATCATCTTTAATGTTTTGCTCCTGCCACGCGAAATGAATGTGATCGACGAATAGAAATTAAAATTAAAAAAATAAAAGGTACTTTGTATTTTACACTGCCCACATTTCATCCCCTTAACACCCCTGCGAGGTAGGCTGGGCCGTGGCACCCAATCAGATGCCGGAAAAAATAAGGAGGCGGAGCTGAATCTTCCTCGTTTTTAAGCTCAGAGTTTTTAACTGCTACACCCCACTGTCTCTCTCTGAGTCAAGGAGAGGGGTTGAGAAAGCCATAAGGGGTGAAAGGGCTGGCTTAGAAGGAAAGAGTTCCAGGTTCAAATCCTGATGAGATGCAGAATCCGTAATAAACTCACTGGTCCGTCTGCTCAAAGAATATTTAAGGGGGATACAGGTAGTCTTCCACTTACGACCACAATGGACGCCAAAATTTCTGGCAGAGATGATAGAGACAGAGAAGGAGAGAGAGGATAGAAAGAGAGAAAGACAGAGAGATGAAAGACAGACAGACAGAGGAATGATGGAGAGAGAGATACAGAGAGGGATGATAGAGGCAGAGAGAGAGGGGGATGATTCAGAGAGAAATACAGAGATGATGATAATGATGATGAAGAGATAGAGAGAGAGAGAGAGAGAGAGAGAGAAATTATCTAGATAGAGAGAGAGAGACAGGCAGACAGGCAGGACAGATAGAGAGAGAGAGAGAGAGAGTAGAGGATGGACAGACAGACAGAAATGATACAGAAAGAGAAAAAGAGAAAGAAATATAGAGATGACGATGAAGAGATAGATAGATAGATTGATTGATAGATAGACAGACAGACACATAAATGATAGATGATAGAATATATATATATGTAGAGAGAGAAAGAGAGAGAGACAGATAGATAGACAGACAGACAGGATAGATAGAGATATATAGAGAGACAAAGAGAGAAATACAGAGATGATGATAATGATGATGAAGAGATAGATAGATAGATAGATAGATAGATAGATAGATAGATAGATAGATAGATGAGAGAGAGAGAGAGAGAGAGATTATCTAGAGAGAGAGAGAGGCAGGCAGCCAGGCAGGACAGATAGAGTAGAGGATGGATAGACAGACAGACAGAAATGATAGAGAAAGAGAAAAAGAGAAAGAAATACAGAGATAATGATGAAGAGATAGATAGATAGACAGACAGACAGACAGACACATAAATGATAGATGATAGACAGAATATCTAGAGAAAGAGACAGATAGACAGACAGACAGACAGACATGATAGATAGAGATATAGAGAGAGACAAAGAGAGAAATATAGAGTGATGACAGACAGACAGACATGACAGGTGACAATGGTTGCTCTGTCACTCCTGGCAAAATCAAAGCTGCCCAGAAAATCTCAGCAGAGTTGAAACCAGGCCGGAAGCTGCTCTGTAAATCGGCCACACCTTTTAGCAAAGCATCTTAAGAGCTGGATCTTAAGAGCAGGGAGGTAGCAGCGGGTTGGGATGGATGACCTCAAGGGATTGAGGTCATCCATCCCAAACCGCTGCTACCTGCCTGCTTGCCAGACTCCCAAGCACACCGGAGGCAGACACCCCATTGCCCCTGCATCAATCCATCTCTTAAAAAAAAAAAAAACCCTCTCCCACCCCCCGGTAAAATAGGTTTTCCTGTTTTTTTTTAAAAAAAAGCCCCTTACTTTGATGCTGGCTGGATTAAACTCCACTTCTTTGCGCTCTGGCTCAGGTGGAGGAGCCGGTTTCGGGGCGGGCTTGGGTTCTTCCTTTTTGGGCTCAGCTTTTTTCGGCTCAGGTTTTTTGGGGGGCATCGTGCCGGAGACAGGGGAAGGGGCCACAGGCAGGCAAAACTGGTCACGTCGAGGGGCAGAAGGCAGAGCAGCTGAGAGTCCCCTGGCGAGGGTCTTTATTCGCCTCCCAGCCCCTGAATGTCAGGGCGGGTGTCAATTGGCCTCCAGCCCCAACCCGAAGCCCCCCTCCCCGTCGTGCATCGCACATACCAGGTCGCACAATAGCAACCTGGCTATAAAAGGGAAAGCAGACGGCTCGGCTATTTCGGATAAGGGCACCCAAATTGGTCTGGGAAGACAATGCAAGCTTGATCAGGAGTAGCAGAAGAGAGGAGGGGGAGAACTGGAGGCGGGAGGGGGGGGCTTGAGCAATAGGGCCGAGAGACCCCTGTTCCAAAGGCCGAGGAGCAACAGCAGCCAATCCCTTTTTTTCCCCAGTTCTGTTGTAACTTTGAGCGGTCACTAAACGAATGGTTGTAAGTCGAGGACTATCTGTATATTTTATTTTAGGCATTTATAAGTAGTCCTTGACTTACGACCACAATGGAGCCCAAAAACTCTTCCGTCTCTAAGCGAGACAGTTGTTAAGTGAATTTCGCCGCATTTTACAAACTTTTCAGCCACAGTCGTGTTTTTTTCAGTCATTAAGCGAATCTGGCTTCCCTATTTGCTTGTCAGAAGGTCGCAAAAGGGGATCACGTGACCCCAGGACACTGCAACCGTCGTAAATACAAGTCAGTTGCCCAAGCTTCTGAATTTTGATGACGTGACCATAGGGGATGCTGCAAAGGTCGTAAGTGTGAAAAAGGGTCATAAGTTTTTTCAGCGCCGTTGTAACTTCAAACGGTCACTAAACAAACTGGTTGTAAGTAGAGGACTATATGTAGCAGCTAGCAATGTCATCCCAGAAATGAAGAATGCAGATTGTGAAAGCAACTCACAATTTCAAAACAGCAATTGTGGGAACTGAGAGGGCTTTAAGGTGTCAGTCAGAAGTCCAACTGGTGCAGAAAAGGGGACTTTACAAATAGTCCTAGAGTTACGACCACAGCTGAGCCCAAAATTTCCATGGCTGAGCGAGACAGTTGTTGAGTTCTGCCTCATTTTACCTTTCTTGCCACAGTTTTTAAGCAAGTCACATGGTCGTTAAGCGAATCTGGCTTCCCCACATGGACTTCGCTCATCAGAAGGTCACAAAAGGGGAACACGTGATCTCCCCCACCCACCCCAGAACATTGCAACGGTCATAAATACGAGTCAGCTGCCAAGCATCTGAATTTGTGACCACAGAGATCCTACAATGGTGGAAAAGGGTCATAAGTCTGTTATTTCAATGCCGTTGCAACTTTGAACGGTCACTAAACGAACGGTTGTAAGTTGGGGACTTCCTGTATGGGGGGGTTGGGGGGGGGGGAAGAGGAGGAAAATTGGTACCCGTGGGCATGTTGATGAAGAACCAAAAAAAATATATAAATTTCTGATGCCATGGCAGACGGTCACTAAATGAACGGTTGTAAATCGAGGACTACCTGTAGTAAGGCTTCTTTTGGGAGCAAACAGCACCTAGTTCTCTCTGTGGTCCTCCAGGATCTGCAACCCCCCCCCACCCCTTCCGGGAGAGGAGACGTCACCGGCCAAGCATTGTTCTGCCTTCTCTGGGGAGATAACAATTGGATCCTATTTCCAGGCCATATAACGTTTCAACCAATATAAAAGGGTGGTGTATTTTGGGCCGCGGAGTCCCTGCGCAGGTGTGACCTCATAGGACAAATTTGGGGCCTGGGTAGCAAAGCCGGCCTTTAAAAAGGCATCCGCAGAGACCCACCTCTTTGGAGTCCTTGGTACCCCTGCGGAAAATACCTGCGGGGGTTCACCCCAAAGGTTGAAAGTCGAGCCTCCATAGCTAGAGACAGCGAAGCTTTTGAATTCAAGGCCCCTGAGATATCCTAGAACAGAACGGGAACTTTTTTAAAAAGGGAAGGGAAGGAAAGAGGGAGGGAAAAGTGGAAAGGGAAGGGAAGGGAAGGGAAGGGAAGGGAAGGAAGGGAAAAGAAAGGAAAGGAAAGGAAAGGAAAGGAAAGGAAAGGAAAGGAAAGAAGGAAAGAAGGAAAGAAGGAAAGGGAAGGGAAGGAAAGAGGGAGGGAGAAGTGGAAAGGGAAGGGAAGGGAAGGGAAGGGAAGGAAGGGAAAAGAAAGGAAAGGAAAGGAAAGGAAAGGAAAGGAAAGAAGGAAAGGAAAGGAAAGAAGGAAAGAAGGAAAGAAGGAAAGGAAAGGAAAGGAAAGGAAAGAAGGAAAGAAGGAAAGAAGGAAAGGAAAGGAAAGGAAAAAAGGAAAGGAAAGGAAAGGAAAGGAAAGGAAAGGAAAGGAAAGGAAAGGAAAGGAGGAGAGGAGAGAAAATCATATTATAAAGTTAATCCTTGATTTATGGCCTTAATTGAGCCTCAAATTTCTGTTGCTAAGTGAGACAATAGCTCAGTGCGTCGTTAAGCAAATCACTGCAATTGTTCAATTAGTCACACGGTTCTTAAGTGGTCGTAAAATTCCCCAAGCAAAGTCAATGGAGGTGGGGGAGGTCGAAAAATTGGCATGATTCACTTAGCAACCCCCGTCCTTAGCATGGAAATTCTGTCCTGATTCTGATCATAAGTAGAGGACTATCTGTACGAGCAGGACTGGAAGAGTGGGTCATCCTTTGTGTCTGGGGGGGGGGGGTGTCAACAAATTCACGATGAAGTTGACACTCAGGCCAGGAAAGCCCGACATGTAAAAAAAATAGAAATGTGGTCCAGTTTTGTCCAAATTTTGACCTTTTGCCCCTCCTCTACGGCCCCAAAGACTCTCAATCTTTGATTTCTCTTTCTGGCCTTCATTTTAAAAACAGGAGCAACAATGGAAGGCCGGACTTCCCGGCCAGAGGCAATGGATGGAAAAAAAAAATCAACTTTTTTGTAAGAATAAGCAGTGATTGGGGGGAAATAAATTTTAATATAAAAATAAATAAAAATAAATAAAATAAAATAAAATAAAAAGGAAGGAAAAAACCCCCAACAATCTGGCATTCACAGTTCTTGATTACTGCCAACAGCTGGAAAGCAAAGAGGGAACAAGATCATCCCAGCCCTGATTATCCAAATTTAAATTTCATTTTTGCAGGGCGTTTCTATGCTGTCCCTATTCCCATCAACTGACTTTCGAACCCAATCCTTTTTTAGTGAGAAATTCCTCAGGGGGTTACAGCCGTTTCTCCCCCTTTCATTTTTTTCCCTGCCAGTGCTTCGGATGCCTCTACCTACACCACCCCATCCCATAATCCCCAGGTCTAAAATTAGGCTGGGGAATCCTGAAATTCAGAGGGGTCCCCTTGAGGTCAGCTAGCCCAACCCCCCCCCAATCGGCTGGAAGCCTTCACCAAGCCTGCTAGAGAAATGACACTACAGCCTTTGTTTAAATGCAATGGGGGCTCCCAGAATCCCCCAGCCAGCTATGCTTTAAGGGGGCTGGACTCCAACTCCCAGAATCCCTCAGTCAGCTATGGCTTTAAGAGTGCTGGACTTCAACTCCCAGAATCCCCCAGCTAGGATGCTTTAAGAGGGGAGGACTTCCACTCCCAGAATCCCCCAGCTAGGATGCTTTAAGAGGGGTGGGCTTCAACTCCCAGAATCCCCCAGCTGGCATGTTTAAAGGGGCTGGACTCCAACTCCCAGAATCCCTCAGTCAGCTATGCTTTAAGAGTGCTGGACTTCAACTCCCAGAATCCCCCAGCTAGGATGCTTTAAGAGGGGAGGACTTCAACTCCCAGAATCCCCCAGCTAGGATGCTTTAAGAGGGGAGGACTTCCACTCCCAGAATCCCCCAGCTAGGATGCTTTAAGAGGGGTGGGCTTCAACTCCCAGAATCCCCCAGCTGGCATGTTTTAAGGGGGCTGGACTCCAACTCCCAGAATCCCTCCTCAACCAGCAAACTGGCTGGGGGATTCGGAGAGTTGAAATCCCCATCCCCTCTTATTTTAGATCTGGCTTTACAGGGCTGTGGGCAAAACTGTTGACTAACAGAATGGAAAATATTCCATATTTGACTGATTTGGCTGCCAAATATCTCTGGGTTTTTAACAAATGATAATCATGGAATTTTATAGTTGATTGTTTCTCATTGGGAAAAAAAAAACATCGTGTTTTGTTCTCGTGGCAATTTGCTGCTGCTGTTTTTACTCTTTTTTTAAAAGGCATATTTTACCATCTCTTCTCAATTAATTTTTTAAATGCCTAATTGCAAACTGCCTTGGAGATGTTTTGAACGGAACAACAAACTGGAAAGTTGTGAAATCAGAAACACAACCGACCCATGAATTAAATTGCTCCGATTTGCCACCCAAATGGGGAAGTTGAGACAAACCCTGGTTTAATGGAGGTTTTCTTCGGCTACCGAGGGTGGTCAGAAGAGTCGAGATGGCCACTTGCAATATGGTTACTATCTTTTTTTCACTAGGCTTCTGTTGACTGCAGAAAGAGGTGGAGGAGGAAGAAATGAAGATGAGGAGGAGAAGGAGAAGGAAGAAAAAGTGGAGAAGAAGGAAGGCGAAGAGAAGGAGGAGGAGATGAGAAGGAGAAGAGGAGGAGGAGGAAGAGGAAGAGAAGAAGAGGAAGGGGGAAGTCAAGCACCTGAGGGTAGAACAAGAAGCAATGAGTACAAACTCATCAAGGAGAGAAGCAACCTGGTACTAAGGAGAAATTTCCTGACTGTGAGGACAATTAACCCGTGGAACTACTTGCCTCCAGAAGTTGTGAATTCTCCAATACTGGAAGTTTTTAGGAAGATGTTGGATAACCATTTGTCTGAAGTTGTGGAGGGTTTCCTGCCTAAGCAGGAGGTTGGACTAGAAGACCTCCAGGGTCCCTTCCCACTCTGTTATTCTATTCTAAGAAAAGATGGAGGAGGAGGAAGAGGAAGAAAAAGGAGAAGGAGGCATGAAAGAAGAAGAAATTGGAAAATGGAGGTAGTCCTCGTTTAGCGACCAATTGATTGGCAGCTCGGTTGTTAAGTGAAACAGACACCAGGTGAAACCATGTCTGTGCTTATGATCTTCCTTTAGCTTTTCT